CTCATGTTGGTGGTGGCGAGAGCAAGCTCTCATTGACATTGGTTTTCAGTGTTACGATTCTTCATTGGTGTTATACTGGTGCATTTCTGCTTTCTGGACACTGTGATACTATCTGGCCTTCAATGTGATTGTGCATTCTGGACATTGTCATCTCGCTATTGCTCATTTTCCTTGCATATTTCTTGAACTTTTTTTTTTTTTTTAGTAACAATTACTTGTTATTAATTTGAATGTTGAACTAGTATAATTTCGGAGTTTCGTTTTTCTCTTGTCCTTCTCTTTGCTGTGCACCATGCAGTCTGTGTTGCTTTTCTGTTTTGTGTTTTGTGTTGTGTCGTGCTGTGTCGTGTCGTGTCGTGTTGTGCCGTGCCGTGGCGTGGCGTGTCGTGGCGTGGCGTGGCATGGCGTGGCGTGGCGTGTCGTGTCGCACTGAGTCGTGTGGTGTCGCGTCGCACTGAGCCGTGTCGTGTCGTGTCGCGTCGCACTGAGTCGTGCCGTGTCGTGGCGTGGCGTGCGTGTCGTGTCATGTCGTGTCGTGTCGTCTCGTCGTGTCGTGTCGTGTCGTGTCGTGTCGTGTCGCGTCGTGCCGTGCCGTGCCGTGCCGGGGTCGGGGTCGGGTCGTGTCGTGTCGTGTCGTGTTAACTGCATCCATGATGACCTATTCTTCACCACACTTGGCATGCTGTCCATGTGATGTGGATATAAAAAAAAAAAAACATACAAAAAGAAAGAAAGAGAAAAAGAAAAACGCCATGTGGATGTGATAATGCCTACTGTCTTCCGTGGAGTAGAACGTATGGTCATTATAGCCGTATTTGGGGCAGTCTAATACAGTGATAATGGTCATATGTTCCATTCAGGGGAAGAGGGGTGGGTACATTGCAATCGGGCAGATGTCCTTGGAAACAATGGGTGCATCCACTGATGTGGAAATGCCACATGGATTCTTCTACGTGATGTGGATTTGAGGTCTGGATGGATCCACCACACGATGTGGAAATGCCATGTAGATGTCTGCATGATGTGGAAATTACATGTGGATGGATCTGTGCGATGTGGAAACACCGTGTGGATGCATCTATGGGATGTGGAGACACCACATGGATGTGTACACATGACGTGGAAATGCCACGTGGATGCATCCATGCGAAGTGGAAACACATTCTACGTGGATGCATCCACTTGATGTGGGAATGCCACGTGGATGATGTGGAGACGCCAGGCGGACACATCCACATGATGTGGAAATTCCACGTGAATGGCCTTTGATATTGATTGTTCTTTTTGCAATTGATTGTGTGCATGCAGGTGTACTTGCGAACAGCCTTGCGATAATGACAGATGCAGCTCATCTCTTGTCAGATGTGGCAGGTATTTTTTTTTGAAATACTAATTTTCGATGTTGTCTTCAGTCCTCGAGGAGGAGCAAATTCAGTCCACCAAATTCCCAATTTTGAGTCTCTCCTACTCTGCGTTTGAAGATGCGCTACTCGTTTGAAAATGAAATTTGCTTTAAAAAAGAAAAGAAAAAGAAATTGATAAGCGAGTGAGTGTTTGCGATGGCAAGGCCTGATGGTTCCCCCTTCTGCACAGGAAGATTCCCCACTGCATATCCGTACCTGGCCTGATATCCACCTACGTTCGTTCAGACAGGTTCCATCATGGCACCTTCCACCTGCTGGGCTGAATATGAGTTTTCAATTTCGAACACCGGGTCACCGTTGGAGTGGTAAAGGCATCTGGCTGTATTTAAAAAAAAATAAATTAAAAAAAATCAGTAGGGGCAGAAAACTACCGCTGTGGCGGGAAGAGAACCCCTTGAGTCGGACAAGAGATCCCAACAGGTATCCCCCTGACGATGACCTCAAGACGTTAAAGAACAGGTTGAGATGCTATCTGTGGACATGTTACATGCTGTGCCTGCACACAAGGGCCATTTTCCAGGCCCTGCGTCCTTCAGGCCGAAAGCCTGAAATCCAGGGCTTACAGGCCCCGTGGCTGTTTCAGGCCGAAAGCCTGAAATCCAGGGCTTACAGGCCCCGTGGCTGTTTCAGGCCGAAAGCCTGAAATCCAGGGCTTACAGGCCCTGTGGCTGTTTCAGCCCGAAAGCCTGAAATCCAGGGCTTACAGGCCCCGTGGCTGTTTCAGGCCGAAAGCCTGAAATCCAGGGCTTACAGACCCCGGTTACAGACCCCGTGGCTGTTTCAGCCCGAAAACCTGAAATCCAGGGCTTACAGGCCCCATGGCATTTAAGGGCCTATAGGCCCTCAGGCTTTAGTCAGAAGCTACCTGGGAACTTTCCGGAAGCTTCCTCAGGCTTTAGCCAGAAGCTACCTGGAAACTTCCGGAAGTTTCCTCAGGGTCTAGCACGTTTGGGCAGTGGCAAGGGCAGCCTCCTGGACGGGCCAGCACTATATAAGACTGGCCCGTCCTACAGGCAGGCAGGTAGTTTTCCCAGGCACTTCATGTGCAGGCAGTTCGTCAGTTGTAGTTTTCAGGATTCGGGAGCAGCACTCTGGAGGGAGCGCTGCGTTGTAGTAGTAGTAGCGTTAGCTTGTAGTCTTCAGCGCTGGGCGCAGTAGGTAGCTGTAGTCTCCAGCGCTGGGTGCCATAGCTAGGTAGCACTAGAGAGAGAGAGAGAGAGAGTTTGGGCGGAGGCCGGAGGTACTTACCTGCAGCGCCGTTGCTCCAGCTTCGTCTTCGAGGTACCTACAGCACAGCGCCACATTCACAGGTTAGTATCTGGTTCGTAACAGTGAGAGAGAGAGAGTTTTTCTTCCTCCTCTTCTCAGTCCACCATCTTCTTCTTTCCCTCCCCATCTCTGACTTCACTGCATCTGCAGACTATGAGAGAAGAGATACAGAGCTTGGTAACATATGATCCAGACTCGACTTTTGGGGGTTCAGACATAGCAACGAGGGACTATTTGGGATTGGTGACCAAGACTTGGTGTTAACGACATTCCCATCTTCCTCCCTCCTTTCGTCTGATCCTTATCTCTTCATCTGTGTATGTCTGGACCTGGCGCCTTCTTCCTGTGTACAGCGCCAGGCTCCTTCACACTTGGTGAGGGATACGATGCATGTGTAGTCTGAGTTCAAACATGGGTTGGGCTAGATGATAGTACTCTATCCCTCTGCTTCGCTACTTGATTCCTACGTGAATGAGGTTCGTCCCAGTCAGGTCAGTCTTTGTATCAAGTCTTCCCTGCGCTCTTCAGCATCTTTATGTATGAATGAGAATGTACATTGCTGGTCGAGATTCTCGTAACCGCATTGTCTATTCAGTCCTTTTCATCACATTGCAGATTCTCGGTTTATTGCATACATTGCATATCTGTGCATGTGACAGGACAGGAGATCCCAACAGGACCACGTGTATCAACAGGGTAGCCTGGAACCACATTACTAGGAAACCGCAGGAAGGGGGCCTTGGGTGAATCAGGCCCAAACAGGAGTCCATAGCACTGTAGATGAAATGGATTATCAAGATCCTGATCAGACAATTCATTCCATGGACCCAGATGGCTCTAGACAGTATCAGAAACCTGGCGCCCATCAGCTCCCCCCAAACATGAGAAGTCTCTACTGGCTTATGGTGAAGGACTGGACAATCAAACGAGACAGACTTCGCAGAAGAAACCCAGCAGAACCCATACAAACCCCACTCAAACAGCTATCTCATACAATCTCTGCCTGTGCTGCCAGGATCTGTGTCTCTTCGACTTTTGTTGTTGAAGGATCTCACTACACCTCTGTAGCTTCTTGTTCTTGGATGCATAATATCTCCCGTCCTCCTTCGCCCGCGTCGCCGCCTCCTCTTCACTGCTACTGCTGGTGCATGTGCTATGTCTGAGGTCTTCTCAGGCTTGCATTGTGTTTGCCACTGGGCGGTTCATTCTCTGCTGCTTTTTCAAGTTTCTGAACCCGGTGCTTCTCCTCCTCACCCCTTTCTCACCCCTCCCTCTCCCGTTGCTCGTTTTCTCTCCTCCTTGTTGCCCTCCTCCTTCCTTTTCCCTTTTTTCTTGCACTCTCCCTCATTCGTCCTGCTTTTATCGTTTTCCTTAAGTTTGACAGTTTGAATAAACGGTTTTCATCTCCCTGCCTTATCCCCTGCTGTTTCCCTCCTCTTGCTTCCCTCTCCCTTTCCTCTTTTTTTCTCCTCCTAGCCACCCTCCTCCCGTCCTTACTCCTGGTGCCTTTCCACTCCTTTGTTTCTTTACACTCCTCAATGCCCGTGCTCCTACCTCTCTTTTCTCTCCCGTCCGCTATCCTCCTACGGTGTTCCTTAGTGTAACAATTTTGAATAAACGGAATTAGCTCCCGTATTTATCCCCTGCTCTCTCTCTCTCTCTCTCTCTCTCTCTCTCTCTCTCTCTCTCTCTCTCTCTCTCTCTCTCTCTCTCTCTCTCCCTCTCTGTGTGTGTGTGTGTGTGTGTGTGCCGTCCCTGGCCGTGCTTCTCCCACTCTCATTCATGCTCACAATTCATTCTTCTGCGTGCCGTTTTTTTTTTTCTTTTCTGAGTGTAACAGTTTGAAGAAATGGCTTTCAGCTGCTTTGTATGGCGTATCTGTTTGAGCAAACATTTTCTGCCAACGCTGCTCATTACAGAGCACTGACTCAGTGTGTGCTTGCTTTTGAAAAATGTCGACAGGTTTTGCTATCTCTCTCTTCTCGTTATGGATGGTTTCCTGGGAAGCGACACCCCGACACTCTTTCGGGTACCATAGAATGGAAATCCTCGGTGCCCTCCTCTCTATCCAGCTCATATGGATGGTCACGGGCGTCCTCATCTATGAGGCAGTCTACAGGTAAGCCAGTCCTCTCTCTGTCAACAAGAAGACGACAGCATTCAATCACCTTCACGCTGCACAGTGAGAACTCTGTAGTTTTCTGAGAGTGCCATTGCCTTTTAGACTTTGTCTGTTTTGCATCATTTATTTATTTATTTATTTGTGTATTTGATACTATTTATTTATTTATTATTATTTTTTGTCCAAGTGCTTTTGGCTCGCGCTTGAATGCTTCTATGCCTGTCTGCTGAGTACGAAGTCCATTGCTTGAGTCTCTCACCAAGGAGGGTCAGCTCCCACTTGTGCTATGTTCATGGACATGGTGGTAATAGTGGTGAGGTTCGTACTTTCCTAGCGTGAACCGTGCGCAAGTGGGGCCTGAGTCACCTGCCCATAGTGCAATCATACTTCGTCACTTCATATGCATACAAACAGATGGTGAATCACACTGGCGCATGGTGCCCAACTCAAAGCTCGTAGATATGGAAACCAAGACACAGTTCAGATGCAAGCTCGCTTCAAACAGGCTATGGTGAATCAGCACCCACACATCACAACTCTTGTCTCTGTGTCCCAACACCACTGTTCGCTTCACACTTCAACTCCGGATCACCCTGGATACCCCACGCACACACACTGTTCACACACTACACTAACAGCTATGGCAGCTATGGCCGCCACTAACACTACCCTACAAGCAGCTATGGCTGCGCTAACTCCTTCAGCCCACTTCGACTTCAGGCTCCTCTGCAGACCACCTCGCACAAGTCACCGTGGCAGCGCTTCCGCATGGCTTCCGCAGGAATGAATGAATGGCTGTGCGCTGCCTCTTGATTTATACTTCTGTAACTCGTTGGTCTGCCTCTTTCCACCGGGCCCATGGTGCACACAGTCCCCCTTGGTACTTGCTGACTGTGCAAAGTGAGACTGGGACTGGGTACCGCTGACTAAGCGAAGTTCRACGCACCACTTGCCCACTTGCCTCTGGCCTTCTGTGGAAAACGTGAGAGGAAAACTCGAAAGGCCACTTCCGGACCTTCCGGAAGACCGYGGACTTGGCCTTTCAGTACTGTAGCAGCTACGACCTTGACCCTTCAGGACTGTAGCAGCTACGACTTTGACCCTTCGGGACATCTACAGCTACGACTTCTGGAACTGTCTAAGACCTCTACTCGACAGGTCTACAGATCGAATCCCTATGTCCACACAGTCCTACGACAGACAAACAACAACTCATAAGACACAGGTCACGGGTTCAAGCACTCAAGGGTCAACTCGATACTACATGGGTGAGGTAAGGTCTGGGGATCAAACCCCGGGATCTGCATATGCCTCTGCAAAGGTGAAAACCGTTTCACTCCCGCCGGCCTAAATTCGAGGTCCTTCGAGAATGTCTCAGTCCAAGGCAGGACCTTTACCTTTCCTATCTCTTTCGTAGGCCCTGACTATGTCGGGAGCTGTTTCTAGAAGTTCAGTTCTGGTAAACCAGCGGTCGTCTTCCCGTTCCTGATATGCGAATCGGACCTTGTACTGTTTTTGAGGACGACCTCTACCTCCTGTTCTGAATATATCTTCACCTACAATGCCGTCAATGTCGTATCTTCCATCCATATCCGGAGGGATCATGGACCTTCTGGAGGGAAACTGTTGACTTGTGACACACGACAATAACTTTGATGCGTGAAATACTGGGTAAGTGTGGAGGTGCGCTGGAATCTCTACTGTATAGGACGGCCCATCCTCTCCGCCCTTAACTTCTAGGAATGGCCACGGTCCTCTATACGCGGGCAATAGCTTTTGCGAGATGTTCTCCTCAGGAGCAAACTCTTTAGACTTGACCCAGACTAAGTCGCCTACTTGAAACTGCGACGGGCGACGATTCTTGTTGGCTTGCTCTATCATCCTATGCTGGGCCTTCCTGAGGTTCTCTACAGCAGAAGTTAGTTCTTTCTCGTGCTGTATCGCGAACTCCTAGTACCGGGCGGTAGCCTCTGAATCTGATCTCAGTTAAGTCCCTCAAACGGTCTGCGCGGTCTAAAGGACTTGTGCAACTCGTTGGGAGTGCGATAGGTAGACAAGTGCACATTGTTATTATAGGCGCTGGCTACCTTGGGAAGCATCTCATCCCAGTTGATTTGATCAGGTCTAATGTACATACGCAGAACTTGCTGCAGGATCTTATTCATCTGCTCTGTCTGACCGTTAGTCTCTGGAGGGCGGCCAGGCGACATCAACAACTTGGAGCCATAGACTCTCATCAATTCCTGCCAGTTCTGACTAGTGAACCGGTATCTCTATCACTAACTATGGACAATGGGACCCCGTGCTCACTGACCCAATGATCAAAAAACTTTTGAACCACTAACTCTGTACGGGCCTCAGAAGGCAAAGGAACAAAAACAACATATTTGCTAAATCTATCAACTACGACCATGACTTGGCTCTTACCGTGCCTACTCTTGATGCCAGCATCCATAAAGTCAATGGATACTGAATCTCCTGGCTGGTCAGGAATAGTCGAGGGTCTGAGAAGACCTAGCGGGGCACGCGTAGTAGTCTTATTCCTCTGGCAGACTTTGCAACTGCGAACATACTCTATACAGTCATTCTTCATTCCTGGCCAGGTATACGCATGCATTAGGTTGGCTAGAGTCTTTTGCCAACCAAAGTGTCCCTCTGTATCGTGACATTCCCCTAAGATCAAGCTACGGATCTCTTCGTTGTTGGGGACGCAGAGTCGGTCCACTACATTAGGCTTCTCAAATAGCAACCCGTCAGTAGTGCGGTAATCTGGTTCGGTTTCTAGGGCCTCCTTCACTTTCTTAAGAAGGTCACTGTAGATAGGGTCCTGCGCATATGACTCTCTAACTTTCTGTTGCAGGTCTTTTCCTATATCCAAATAATGGACTATCGGTCCAAAGTAGTCTGATCTCCTACTTAGAGCATCCGCAACTACATTATACTTGCCCTTAACTGGCTTGAGCTCAAAGTGGTACTGGTCTATCTTTGCGGCCCACCCAGTCAGCTTAGGTGTCATCTTGGCCTGAGTCTTCAACCACCTTAACGTTTTGTGGTCTGAATAGACTTTGAAGTGCCTCCCAAGCAAGTAGTGCTTCCAGTGTTCTAATGCTTGCCTGAGAGCGTAGAGTTCTCTCTCGTAAGTCGAGGTGGCTACCTTCTCTGACGGCATCCTCGATGACATGAACTCTACGGGTCTATATCTATTGCCATCGTCTTGCTGTAGTACAACACCTATGCCATACTGGCTCGCGTCAGTGGTAACAACAAAAGGTAAGGACAGATCGGCGACCTTAAGGACTGAATACTCTATCAACGTCTGCTTCAAACTTCTTCATGGCAGACGTGCAGTCCTTGTCCCACTTCCAAATTGTTTCTTTCCTTAGCAATCTGCGAAGGGGTGCAGTGATGGTAGAGAAGTTCCTCACAAACTTCCTGTAGTAGTTCGCTAGGCCTAAGAACGATTGCAACTCTGTCAGCGTGCGGGGTGTAGGCCAACCCTTCTCTAGGAGCTCGTCTAGCTGCTTGCGTAGCTCCTCTAACTCCCGCGGGGACATTCTATACACCGCTCCTTTGGGAGTCCTTCTGCCAGGCTCAATCTCAATGCGATGCTGGATGGGCCGCGGTACTACTCCTGTCGGCGGCTCAGCTAAATCTTTGAACTCTTCCAGCAGCTTGGCAATAGCTGGGTCAATGGGCTTCTCCTCCTTAGGCTCAGTAACAGGCCTTACGTAAACTACGATCTGCTCCTCTAATTTCTCCTTTTTTACTAGTCGCGCGAACGCAGGAGGATTGAGACAGCAATGTGCCAGGGTATGGTCTACACTTGACGCATGGAACAGACGGGCAGTCTTGACCTCGCCTGTCAGACTAGGGAGCCTACACTCATGCTCTCTCAGGTGGAGTGTGGCCCAGAGTGCCTCTCCCCAGTCCATACCTAGGACTATATCAAAATGAAGGTCGTCTTGTACGAGGAGAGTCAGGGAATGGAGAACTTTCTCCACCTTCCCATCTTTCTCTAGGCGGGAATACGCCTGGACTCCCTCTACGTAGTCCTCAACACGCATAGTGCGGTTGTCTGCGAGGACACTCACTATGGGGTCTTCTAACTTCTGGACTTTCAGCCCTAGCCTGAGCTTCTTTAGCGCCCTACGGCTAATATAACTACGGGTAGCCCCTGAATCTATAAGGGCTCCTACTCTACTTCTAAAAGCTTCTATATCCACTAACACTAGTTGTCCTTTACTCCCCTTTTTCATCTTGGCCCAGGCGGGCATTCTCTCCTTCAACTCGTCAGCCACGCCTGTGAGGGAGGTGCCTAAAGAGACTCTAACACAAGCAGTCTCTGGACAGCTATCTAGTCACCGACCTGCAACCTCTGCCATAGGCTCATGTGGTGTGGGAGTTTCTTGCCGGCTCCCACTCGTTTCCCCACATGGCCTTATGGTAGGGGCAGTTGCAACCCCTACCGGCGGCTGCCTTTTGCCTGTTGGGCAGCCCATCGGGCCTCTCTATACTTTGGACAATATCGAATGATGTGGCCAGGGTCACCGCAAAAGACGCACTGCCCCTGATCCACACGCTGCTGCCAGTCGCGCTGGTCCAGGCCGAAATCCTCCCAAGGTCGGCCCTGTGGCAGACCTGGGTGCCAACCACCTCTCCTATAGGGTGACCTATTACCCCTATTAGGTGAACGGTTACTAGAATGGTTTTGACGGGGCCCTTGACCCCTTCCTCCCGCTTGGCGGTTTCCTCCTCTACCGCCAATTCCCTGATCGCCCTGGACACGGCCACCTGAGGCCCGGCCCCCTTGGCCCTGGCCTCCTCCTCTTCCTTGCGGCCTCCCTCCGGCCACGACAGCAGCGTAAGTCCTCCCCTGACTCAAGCTACTATCTTCCTTCTCCTCCTCTAGCCCCCACTCTATTTGGTCATAGGGGACTTCTTCCACACTACCCTCGTCTAACATGAGGAGCAGACGATCCTTGGTCTTGATTTGCCCT